GTTGAAAATTGACCGACATCTGAAGTACTAAATCTTTTAAAACTTGAAGATCATAGAATAAGTTGAAGGTTAAATTCAAATGGCATTTGGTCTAGGTCAGACAAAGGTTACATTCAAATGGCATTTGGTCAAGATAAGATACAGGTTAAATTCAAAAGGCAATTGGTTAAAGGAAGATAAAGTTGCCTTCAAACGGCATTGACCAAAGAAATCTAAAGGTTGCATTCAAACGGTATTTGTTCAAAGGACGACAAGGGCTATATTCAAACGGCATTTGGTTAAGGTAATATACATGTTAAATTGAAACGGCATTTGGTTAAGGTAATATACATGTTAAATTGAAACAGTATTTGGTCAAGGGAAGATAAAGATCACATTCGAACAGCATTTTGTCAAGGAAGTTTACATGTTAAATTCAAAAGGCATTTGGTCAAGGAAACAAAAGTTAACTGCAAATTATTTGGTCAATGAACGATGTAGACGATCATGATAGGTTAACAAATTAAATAATGATATCCTGTTAATAAAAATCTCCTTCTAATATTTGATTATGACAGAAATTTCAAGTCTGTGTCATTACAATTTCACTCTATGTCCTTATTCTTTATGTTCTTATCCATTGAAATCGAACTCCCTTGTCTGTGTTTGGTTTATCGAATGCATTATATTCTTTTCAGGAGAGAATATCGAATGCTCAAGTCTTTGTTTGGTTTATCAAATACTGCTAAACACTTTTATCTTTCGATATCGAATGCTCAAGTCTTTGTTTGGTTTATCAAATACTTCTAAACACTTTATCTTTCGATATCGAATGCTCAAGTCTTTGTTTGGTTTATCAAATACTGCTAAACACTTTTATATTTCGATATCGAATGCTCAAGTCTTTGTTTGGTTTATCAAATACTGCTAAACACTTTATCTTTCGATATCGAATGCTCAAGTTTTTGTTTGGTTTATCAAATACTGCTAAACACTTTTATCCTTCGATATCGAATGCTCAAGTCTGCGTTTGGTTTATTGCATACACTATACTGTTTTCCTTAAAACCCTTTTTATGTAATTTGCTCATAAGATTTTAAACTCTTTAATATTGTCGTACAGTTACTCTGGCACACCCTAATCCCATGTATATTTTTCTGGATACAAAGTTTTCATGTATTTTCAAGTCCTTATTTCCATCCTAAACATTGCATGGCAGTCGTTTAAAACGGAATTTAAATATACATGAATACTAGTGATCGAGGTATTATTTTAATGCAGTCAGTTTTTTTAGGACTAGTATGCGTTTTTATCGTTAAGAACGTTCATAATCTCGAAATGTCCAGTAATGACATGAAATGTTGCAATTATGAGAAAAGGAAACCATGCTTTGCCAGCTTTTGAGAAAATGCTTTTATTTTTTATATAGTAGTAATTATGCCATGATAACTGAAGTGACTTTTTGTATTAGCGCGTGCCACATAATAATGACTTGCTGGCCACGTACGGCCTGCGAACGTAGGCCTACTTTTGGGCCCTCTGAGTTAGAGAATGGGTGTCTTGGCTGGAATTCTACCAAGTTTATATCAAGCAAGAAGTGTCCAATAATGCAAAAATAATTGGACTTACAATTATACAGTACAAAGCGGTATGAGTGTTATTTTACTTTAGAGTATCCGTTGTATAATTAATTAAGGATTCAATATCTAGATGGATATTATGAAAAAAGACCCCAAATAGTTTATGTTTATTGAGCTTTTTCAAGTTTTTGAAACATTCTATTTATACGATTTTATTTGTTTAAAGCTTTTGAATTGATAATTATAATATTCCAGATTTAAACAATAATTAATGAAGGTGATGAAAATGATGACGTGTTATTAATATTTCTTCTTCGTCATCGTCGTTATCTTATTATTATTATTATTATTATTATTATTATTATTATTATTATTATTATTATTATTATTATTATTATTATTATTATTAATAGTATATCTGACATATTGGGAAAATACAAATCATGTCTAGTCTACACAGCATCTCAATACTGCTTCTAAAATAGGCCACTGTGTAACCGGATTCGTGTTTGGCAAGTAATTGGTCAATTGTCATGCATAGCAAATTATGTACATAATAGATCAGAGGTATACAAGGTAATTATCAGGGAATATTTGTTTGCCATGTTATACCTAGAACGTTGGTACAACCTCAACCCATTTACTAAACAGAAAAGTCTTTCGGCGACAAAAGTGGCGTTTTACTTAATATTAGTATCGCTTTGAATACCTAGACGTGCACGTGGATTTAAAACTTAAAAGTACGGTACCGACGCGCTCTGTTACATACCGTCCCCGACGCCGTCTTTTTGGTTCGGCCAAACCAGGAAATAAATGTCATAAGACCGTACAATGACCGTACCGTCTCCCTTGCAACACTGTATACCTATCAGGCATGAGCGTAAGAGATGTCTCACTTGCCAAGATAATACAAAATTGCTTAGATCTTCGTATAATTAGAACCTCGTACATCTAAAAAAAAAATGTCTAACATTGGTGATATCGGAAGACGCTTTAAATGACAAATCTTGAAATAGTACGTTTATAAATATATCTAGGTAACAAAATTGCTTTGAGGGCCTTGAAAGGCAACAGGTGCTCTTCTTCAAGAGAGCTTTGCTACTGCAAGGTGTACAAGGTATATATTGAAGGATTCCACAGGGATTGGAATGGTTTTGAAGTTATAACTGTATACGTAATGTACACACTATTTCAAATATGAAGAAAAAAATCAACAAACTAAACTTCTTTTAGTTTTAACATGGTTTGCAATATTTTTTTTCCATGTTTTGCATCAATGTGCATTTAGGAATAACTTTCAATAACTTGGTAGCTAAAGGCCAGATTGGCTCATTAGACTGTAGAGTTAGAGTCGGAACTAAGATTGGCAGTTTAGACGGTAGATTTACAGCCGGATATTATTTTAGCTGTTAAGACGATATACTTATTGTCGGGTATTAGATTGGCCGTTAAGACGATAGACTTAGTGTCGGACCTAATATTTCATTGACTTTATCGTAGGGATTTTGTTCAAGGTAACTTAACGAGCTGAATTATTGTTAGGTTTATTTGTATTATATATACTACATCGTGTTTTGTATGGGACGGTAATTCCTGACAAAATAATTTATCTTGACCAACCAACATACGTCTCATGTACGACTATCGGTGGTATCATTCATCGAATTTTGGGATTAACAGCAATAAGTGGACAGGTTTATGACACCAGCTTCTCTTTTTAAAACGACTTCAGCCTCAAGAGAAGATATAGTGCCCCTGATGGCTGTAAATTACCATGCACTTAGGCTCAGAGGAACAATTTTTTATATCTAACAACTTTAAAACATACTATTAAGAGTAAGCAAGACGTTCGAAGTTATGTTTCTTTATGACGCATTGGCCATTTTGTTTGTTAAAATTTTGGCAATGCAATAGGATATGTAATAGCACATGGAGACACCTATACTGAAAAATAAATAGTTCCCGCAAGCTCTCAAGCTTTGATACTACAATCCCTAATTTTAATCACTAAAATACGATTATTTCAAAATTTAAAAAAGTAAAAGCTGGCAAAACAGAACTGGAAACATTCGGACATGAAATATATCTTACTTTTATTTAACTAAAGCTGAATAAATGTTGAAGGTATCTTTTGTCATATTTATTTTGTTTTTAATATTCCACCGTTTATTTTTTAGATTTAAAAGTTTTCCATAAACCGAGAAATGATAATTAGCATTTTTTCAAAATTTTGCGAAGTCTCAAAGCTAGTATCTGAGCGTAAAAAGCGGGTTTAATTTATTACAGCAGGCAGAGAAACTATCGCAAACTGGATAAAATATAACCATGGATATGGGGAAAGTAAGCAACTTTAAAGCGACATATAAGGTACCAAATTATTTCAGAAGTACATTAAACTTTTAAGATATCATTCTTGTGCAACGTGTATTATGTTAAAATTTAATTTTCTTTCGTATCCAGAAGACACAGTAAGAAAATGAGGTGGTATATATATATATATATATATATATATATATATATATATATATATATATATATATATATATATATATATATATACATACATACATACATACATATATACATACATACATACATACATACATACATACATACATACATACATACATACATACATACATACATACATACATACATACATACATACATACATACATACATACATACATTCCCAATTTATTTTAAAGGATATATTAGAAAACCTAGAAACCACTGTTATAGACTTTGAAGCTGCCGTAACAATCCGACTGATCACTGTTATAGTTTGATGAAAATGTCTCTTATATCCATATATTGTGCATTGAGTTTGAAGATAAATGCATATCGTCCTCTCCCTACATGATCTATAAACAAAAAGCCGAGAAACGTGATGCCATATAGTAAACCTGAAAAACCAGAAAAAAATGTAACACAATTTAAGAGACGGTGGGAAGGGAAAGAGAATTTGCGAGGCCATGCATTGTTCCAATCTTTTGGCTTTACTGTGCCACTGCACATGGAAGAATGGTTTTTGTCCCAATGAGGTTATCATTGAGGAAATGCTACTAGTGGTATATAAAATGACTAACGGTACTAGCCCTGGCACGTGATGAATAGTGACTAAAGTCTTGTCTTTGAGCTCTGTAAGTTAAACAATGCATTTCTTGAAGAGTGCAATGCCACCACACGAGGAAAAAGGGGATGTGATTATGTGATTATTATTTTTAACATAGCTTTAATAATTTTTCAGTCATATCGCTACGATGTCTGCAGTGTGGCAGAGTGATGTCTAGCACTGAGACATCATGCCGCAGACATGTAGCATGATGTCCCACCCAGTCACATTATCCTGACACCAGGCCGACCAGTCCTAACACTAACCCCTTAATGCTGAGCGTCAAGCGAGGCAGCTGTTAGTACCATTTTTGTAAGTCTTTGGTATGACTCGATCGGGAATCGAACCCACGACCTCCCGCATCCGAGGCGGACGCTCTAATCACTAGGTCACCGGAGCGGTTGGAAAAAAGGAGATTATGAAAGTTAAATTTTGATACGGATCAGCATATCAGGTCTGCAAAACGATTACCTGTAATTATTATAAAGTCCTTCTTTGTATTCATCGTTAAAACTGAACTAGAGTATGTATTTATACACTCTCAGGTAGGTCATCCCAGTGTATTCAAGTCGATGGAGAAAAAAAAAACCTCTTCTTGCTATTAGAGAGTCTAAAATCATACGAATAGTAGGTATGCCTGCGATTATATTTAGATGTAGTGAGGTTAAAATATGGTATTAATTCTTTCAAAAATTCAAGTGCTTACTTTTTATACATATTAACAAGATTAGTTCATTTTCTTCTGGTGATACGTACTTCAGATCCCGTTTCAACAAAGATTGCATAAGTATATTTTGAAAGACCGATTGCAGTCCAAGCTGCTTCAGGCTGAAGCTTTTCCAGATTTACATAGGTATGCAAGGTTCAAACATTCCTTTCACTATGAGTATATATTGAAATATGTATTATGGTTAAATCTGATAACGTACAGTCTTACAACATACATGGTTTGAATAATTTGATTAATAGGAACTGACCACTTCAGTTGATCGTGTTACTGAACGTAAACGAAGTTAGTATTGCAGTGCTTGAGTTCAGGCAAGGTGTGACTTTATTTGTAAAGATTGCAACTTCATTTTCCTGACGATTACGCTTCTTAAATCACTACTTGATCAAGGGAACAAGATGATTCATTGCCATTTTTTAATTTTCAACTTTATATGGAAATACAGAATGATGAAAAGAATCAATATCAGTCTTGTAGTGGGATTAAATTTATTAGAAATATCATTAATAAATAGTAGTGGCCCTTAGACAGATCCATGTGTTTTGTTTAATAAAGTGCTTTCGCTCATTAATCTTTATGTTTTATGACACAGTTAACATGGAGACTCACATTACAAATTAACAATATATCATACTAACGTAATTGAAAAATTAAGCCAAGTGCCACTCTGTCGAAAGCATTTGAAATGTCATAGAAAATATTGCACGAATTTTGTGTCTTCAGAGAAAAAGCATTTCTTACAACTGAAAGACAGCATATCAAACTGAAATAAAACCCACTGGAATTAGCAAAATGTATTATCTCATTGAAAATAATTGTAAAAATGTCCCAGTACACTAAACTAAAAACTCTCTACGATAGTCTGATAATAAATTCGGCCGATAATTTAAAGTCATGTAAGAATCGCGTATTTAATGTAAAAACAACATGTGTCTACCCAACGAGACGGAAGACTTGCATCTGAATTTAATTAGAAGACTTTAGAATGACGCACAATCAGGAAATAAATCATAGACTTTTTGAGCGAATGCTGTTAATATAACAAATTGACTCCATATTTAAGGATTGTAAGATTTTATCGTTATCTTTTATTTTTGTATACATTTCACGAAATTTTTAACATTGTTATCTTTAAGAAATTTTTTTGTACTTCCTGTTTTGGTGTGCTTGGAGGGGTTAATGTTTCTAAAGTGTCGTGCAGTTTGTATATCTACCATTACATTGAACTTAGCTTTTAATCGGCACAATATAGCCAGTATCGTACTAACGTGCCGTTAAACACCAGTACATAAATTCAGAAAACACAAGAGCAACAGGCTATTACCACAGCACATGCGCATTATTGATATTTTCTAATTAATAGACTCTACTCCTCGGGGATGTCTATCTCGTAGCTATGGAGATGAAGGGTTTAAATGAAGAAGATTCACAATAGAGTGGAGCTCATTCCATTTGGGCGTTACCAATATCTTGCTAAATGTCAACCATTGCAACAAGCAGGAATCTTTAATACTATATTTTCTGGAATACATCAGCATGTATTATTCATGCGGCGAAGAAGAAATGCTAATTTTTTCTAGATCCTTACAAAGGTGGTTAAATTACTGCTCTGGATAAAATCACAATAGAAATTTATGTCAAATGTGTATTAAATGAAGATAACAAACAAGCTTGAAAAACATTGCACTTAACGTGGTTTGACCCCTTCCTTATAAGTACACTCAAAAGGAGTAAAGTTTACGATTTTTTGAGCACATAATCAAATCTATCTTTCACAATGTAAACGTCTAACACCATAGAAAAATGCCCTCCTGTCCCCCAAAAAATGTATACAAAACGTGGTATGACGGCAAACGACTGACCCAATTTAATTTTGTGGCTGGTTTTGACAAATGTGAATTTTTCATTCTCTGCAAGTGTTATGTTTGCTTGGAATTGTGTGTAACGTCGCCACCCAAACTAAATAGCATACACAATCATAGGATGTGTCGCGTTTCCTAATTGGCACTCTTATTCTCTGCTTACATTTGTCGCTGTAATAAATAGAAAGGTATAGATTCAATAACCTTTGCTTTCTTAGCAATTTTCCAATTTAAAGGGCACCTGTTGGCTTTTCGACTGGCATACAACAATCTCTTTCTGTACCGTGATAGGTGAGAACACTTTAAATGAAGTGGAGATTACCCATGTTTTATGTTTCGCAAAATGTTGGCAAAAAATAGATCAACCCTCTATTGTGCAAAATACAAACAATTTTAAAGATATTTACACAAACTGGGTGACACTTAAGGTTCTATATAGACGTGATTACGTCTGTTTATTATATTCTTCTACTTTCATACTATGCATAGTTGAGGACAAAACGTTATTTTAAGACTAGGTCCACACGAATTTGCAGAACGACCATTTTATTATCTGACAGGAAGGAAGTTTGTTTAAATATGTTAACATTACCACTGAAGGGCAAATGGAAAATTTACTTTTTTATCCGGTAAAAGTACAACCATCAAATCCAATCTAGATAGTATAGCTTTGCAATGATTACAATCGTAGCTTTGCAATAATTATAATCTTCAAATGCAATCTGTGATATTAGAGCATTCAAAAGATGCTGCACAATTATCATGAATATTCGTATCAGTAAATTACTAAATTTTACAACATTTACATTCTAATTGGCGTCGAGAATCTAAGCATAGTATGAAGCAGTTCCCCGAACCTCAGCTTGAAATGTCAGGCGAGTTTCTTTGTAAATGTTGATTATTTTAATTTATAAGTTTCTATATCAATGTGTCACGTTTGCTAAACCCAAGCTAAAGTCATGTATAAGCTATAATCTAAATCTCTTGGGAATAATTACCACGGCTATGTGTTTGATGTCTAAAGATTGTCACGGGCGAGTGTTAAATTCTTACTCAAGTTTACTTGACCCACCGGAGACCGAGATATTGAATCGGAAAAGGCGATAGATCGCACCATATAAACAAAAGTTTATAGTTATGACACCTGTGTGTTAAATCTTAGTCCAAAGATCAATGAGAAGCCCGAGGGGTGAGCGGGACATGTTTTCATCCGTACACATGTTGACAGACAGCGAGAGGTAATGGTCCGCTAAGTTTGATTGGATATCTAATCTGAATTGAGAGAGGGGGATATAATTACAATTCGAAACCCAACGATAGTGCAAGAGAAAATTTAGCACTCGCCTAGACAGATTGCGGATCAATAGGGTTTACTACGAGAAGAAGCCACTCGAAAGGGAGACTTTTAATGGGACACACAGCTTCGGATTCCATTGGGTCTCAATAGTTTAAGAGTTGGAGACGGAATTGAGGCTGTAGCCCAGACAGTCGAAGTCGACAGAAGAGTAGTCGTGGTAGAGAAGTAGAGGAGGAGGAGAAGAGTCTTGAAAATGCGAAGGAGGAGAATGAGTCTAGAGAAAGTCGAAGAGGAGGAGGATAATAAGTCTGGAGAAAAGTTGAAGAGGAAGGGTAGAAGGAAGTGTGAGAAATAAGAGAGAGAATGGATACGTAAGATGAGTAGAAATACATGGACAGGAGGAAATCAGTCTCACACCGCTAATCAAATGATGCAGTAAGCTTATTAAAGGGTTGAGTGGAAAGAGGGTAATTGGGAATTTGAGTTATTTGAGTATTGAATTGTTCTTAAATTGTTATCCTTTGAATTTCAACCTTATTGTATATTTAACCATCTAACCGTCGGCATTGCTGACTGGGGGCTCAGAGCTTTACACCTATCTTTCAATAAATTTAACTATCAACAAATAAAGAGCCTTGGTGGGACTTCTATAATAGTTTAAATAAATATATGGTTTGCGCCTTGGTGGGACTTCTATAATAGTTTAAATAAATATATGGAGAACCCCATCCCAACCATAACAATCCTCAGATAATGTATGTGATGCTAGTACCTCAGTAGCTGTACATGAAATTATCGCATATGGATTAGAGGCATTATGTGCGCATTAATTGCATCAACTATAAAGTTAGGCACATTAATTTTCGCTTGGAGACCCCATTGTATCTCTCTCACGTTTTTGTCGTCATCATCATCATCATCATCATCATCATCATCATCATCATCATCATCATCATCATCATCATCACCATCATCCTCATCATCATCTTATCATTATCATCCTCATGTCATCTTTTTGTCTTTACCAGAGGGAAGCTATATTATTTCATACTAATATGTCAGTTTTAAGCATGACATGCCGCTTCTATATAGGCCAATACGTCGTTTTACCGTTTTACCACTTAGAAAAAAAATCCCAAACGTTTTAATCTACTTTTTTTTTCATTTTTATCTTACTGCATCAGTAATCAGCGTCTGAGGTATTGATTGATGTGGATCATTTTCATTTTCGATATATGGTATCAAAGTAAAAAATATTTTTAAAAAATCACAGAAAATGTTATGTCACGGTAACACCTTTAGAAATTGTCAAAATTAAAATCATAACTTTAACGAAGATACATGTATTCTAGAAATGTATTAGATCCGTTAAACAAGTTTTATATTCTTGTCTTATATTACCATGGGGGTTCACGAGGGTAGCTGGTTCCCCACCTGGAGTTTTATAAATCCGATATGAGAGAGAGAGAGAGAGAGAGAGAGAGAGAGAGAGAGAGAGAGAGAGAGAGAGAGA